GTAGATTAAAAATGAAAAGAAAGATATATATATATATATATATATATGAAGAAAAAAAAAAAGGAAGTAAAATAAGTTTGTTTTGTCTCCCTTTTTGGTTAGATTAAGAAAATGAGGAGGAATTGAATTGAATAGAGTGAAAAAAATTACTAATTTTTTGTTTGGATTTAAAAAATTTTATTGGTAAAAACTAATATGGAAGAGTTACCAATAAATCATATATATGTTGGAATTATATTTTAGTTAGTCTCATAATTTTTTTTTTTGTGATTCATTTAGTCATTTTAGATATTTAATGACTCATTTGCCATTATAATTTCCTTAATTGTTACTGTTTTATGCGGGAAAAAAAATAAATTAAGGAGTTTTTTAGCATGTTATATTGGAGTGTTACGTTTTTGGAGCATTAAATTGAAGTGTCATGTTTGAGAGAAGTATATTAAGGAATTTTTTTTAAGTATTACATTGGAGTATTACATTTGGGAAAAATAAACTAAGAAGTTTTTTTGGAGTGTTACATTGTTAAGTTTGGGAAAAGTATACTAAAGAGTTTTTTAGGCCAAGTTTGGCATACCCAAAATAATCTATCTTTTTATCTTTTTTCTATCACATCACCTCTTTATTTTTCTGCACATCTTTTCGTAAAAAGACAAAAAGTACACTTATTTAGGTCATCCCAAACAACCCCTTAATGTGTTAAATTGAAGTGTTAAGTTTTTGAAGTGTTGCATTTGTAAAAAGTATACTGAGGAGTTTTTTAGAGTGTTACATTTGGGTGACAGAAACGTGATCGAATAATTGGATCCAACTTCCATAAGATAGCATCCCCCAATGAGAAATGATAGAAACGTCCACCAAATCATATAATTCAAAATAGGATCTCACGGTAAGATTATCAAAACAAACCAATCCTATCAGTGTATTAGAAAATTCATGGAACTAATTGGAGTAATTGATTCTCATATGGAACTTTATGATAATTTTCCTTTGAAATATTTTAATTTGTGTACAACAATTGATATATATATATATATATATATATATTTTAGGTCCATTCTTTGTAAAATAATTTATTGAGAAATACTTTTGTTGGTTTTGGAGGACATTTTGTTTTTAATTTTACCTCTTAATTTATTTGTTAACTTTTTTTTATCTGTTGAATTTTCATTGAATATCTGTTTAAATTTATATCTATCTATTTAAATTTTTCCTTGTCTATTCAATTTTTTGATCTTTTCAGTTCAAATTTTGTATCTATTTGTTAAACCTACTCTATCTATCAAAAAGTGAATTAGTTTGTTCTTATCTATTTAATTTTTTTTCCTATATGCTGAAATTATCTATTCATTTTTTTTTATCTACTGAAAAAAGAGGTGATGATCTGCTGAAATGGGTGAGGAGAGCTTGAGGAGAGAGTTATCTATTCAAATTCTCTGTCTCCTCATCTCTTTTCCTCTCTCTCCCTCTGTTGCAATGAACAACAACAATAACAAGAAAAAAAGAAGAAAAAATTGTTCATCAACAACAACATCTGATCATCATCATCAAAAAATAAACAAATTTTGTTGAACTCTTGTTGGTGTGAAACCTTCAGATCTTTGATGGTTCAAGTACATGTATATATATACAGAGAGAGAGAGAGAGAGATGGTGTATATATTAGCCATTGGCCTAAGTACAGCCTAGCCCTCCACCATCTGCAACGACATTGACAAGCCGATGCAAGTCGACGACGATGATGAAGAAATTGAAAACTCCAAGACCAGATCTTCAAAATCTATTTAGAGAGTGAAAAAAATAGAAAGCAAAAACACTTCTAGAGAGAAAAAATAGAGACGAAACGCATTGTTGAGAGAGAGATGAGATATTAATGAATGAAGGCAAGAATCGAAGCATCGAATGAGATAACTCAGTCCTTGCAATGGTTACGGAGTTTGGAAATGGAGTGGTGGCGGCGATGGAGAAACTTAGAGGGCACTGTCGTAGTGGGAGGATGGTTGTTTGATGGTGGTTGTGTTGGTGGTGTTGTTCGCCGCCATGAATAAGGCATCTCTTCGAGATTTGACGATGACTGAGCATTCGAGTGATTTGATGGCTTTCGGAAACCTTAGTTCCGTTTCCCTCTCTTTTCCGGAGACCTAGAGTATGCGGGATCGACGTTTTCGATGTCGCCGTCCCCAAGATCTTTTTCTCTTCTGTTGTTCTTCAGCAATAAGCAAGTCTTGAAAGTCGTTTTCGTCGACAACGAGTCCACCACCAGAGACCTCCAGTGACTTCTCTAGAGACGTGCGTAATCATGATCTGGTAAAGAAGAGAAAGAAAAGAAGATGCAAAGAGAGAAGATGAGGAAAGAGAGGGTTTTGGGGAAATAGATTTCAACAGATAGTGATTTTGTATGACAGAAAGAGGATGAAGAGAGAGAAAGTGACAGATAAGGAGAGACGTGAGGGTTTTAGAGAGAGAGGGGGGAAGTGGCACCAAGGATCCTCTAGAGTGTTTTTTTCCTAAAGTGGCGTATTGTGTGGTTGAGATTTAATGCTAAAAAATGGATGTGACTTGTCATTAAATCTCAACCATACAATGCACCACTCTAGGAAATTTTAGGAAAAAAAAACTCTAGAGGATCCTTGCTCGGGGAAGTGGTGGTTGTTTAGGGTTTGGTTTGAGAAAGATATGAGGGAATAAAAGCCACAGGCGGAAATAGAGGGATATTTTGATCATTGTATGGGCTCATTTGGGAAGGGAGGGTTTGAGTTTTTTTTTTTTGTTAAAATAGTCATAAAAAAATAAAATAAGTTTTTTAATTGAATAAGATAAAATATTACGTCTAACTTATAATCATTACATTCTTTTTTTCACAAAAAAGTCAAAATTCATTTTCAAACGAAACTTTTTAGCTCAAAATTAAAATAGCCAAAAAGTTAAAACGGTTTTGCTACGTAGATCGAAATTGGCCCGAATCCAAAACGACGTCATTTTGGATTTTTTTCCCTCCCCCCTCTTTCTTTCTCGTTTTTTTGAAGATGAAGATGAAGAAGAAGGAGAAGGAGAAAAGAGAAGAGGGAACAGCTTCATCAACATCATTATCAGCAGCCATTCATCTTCAGATCCAAAAAAAACATCTTCATCGACACATCATCATCATCAACAACAACATCTTCATTAACATCATCATCAACACATCATCATCAACAACATCTTCATTAACACCATCATCAACACATCATCATTAGCTAACAAAAAAATTTTCCCTTCATTTTCAGATCCAGATCCACTAGAAAAAAAAAAAGAAAAAAAAAAAGAGAAATAGAGTCTGAAAGTGGCGATCGGCGATCACCACTATCACCTGTCTTCTTCTCTTCCTCCTCCTTCTCTTCATATTTTCTTCCTCTTCGCTTCTCTCCTCTCTTTCTCTCGCTTTTGTCTGTATTCAAAAGCAAGAAAAGGAAAAGAAAAAAAAAAAGAAACCCAAAATGACGTTATTTTGGGTTTTGAGCCAATTCGAGCTTGAGATATTCGAGTTACGGATCATTTTCCAAGTTAAAAAGTCAATCCACTTCCCAAATAAATCCTATGATAGTTTGTCTTTATAAACATAATAAATTAACGTCTGAATTTTTAGACAACAAATATTTAAGATTGAATTTTTCACCCGAACATCCTAATTTAAAACGCAGAAAAATAATTAAATCAAAATAGAATAGTACTAATAATTATTAATTTAAAATAAAATGTTATAATTTTTTAAAATAAAATCTGATGGAGTAATCTTAAAAATCTCAAATATTTTATCAAAAGTTTTACATGAATATGAAACTCATATAATGTAAATCTCACACTTATATAAAATGAAAAATGTTATAAATTTCAAATAAATTATTAAATTTTTGATCAAATCTCTCTCACATATAAGACTCACACAAATCACATGTACATAAATTGTATACCTATATACAAAATCTAATAATTTATTTAAAATCTCTACCTTAACTCATATAAAATATTTAGAGGTTGTCTGAGATGACCTTAATAAATGTATTTTTTATCTTTTTACAAAAAGATATACAAAACAATAAAAAATTAATATGATAAAAAAAAAAAATAAACTATTTTGTGTACGCGAAACTTGTCCTTAATAAAAGAAAAATGCTTGGGAGCACTAAAAGGAGATCACTAAAGGGAGCATTAATGATGTGGCAGTGGGCCCCGTCCACTTTCTATGCCTTGTTTTTATTTTTTTATTATTTTTTTTTGTCATTTCTAATGTATTAGTGCTATTAATGATGTATTTTTTAGTGGTCTAAATCATTGTTGTTAATAAAATATCCGTCATTTGTCAATCTGACCACTTCCCTCAGAGCATCTCCAATGCACTAGGCATATAATACTTGTTAGTTAAAATGCCTAGTGTGATTCACTTTTTTCAATTCCAATGCACTAGGCATATGATTAGGCTTTTTGGCTCAACTCATATTCACTAGCCACATGTAGCTAGCCTTCAACGCTAGGCAAAATGTATTCAATCATTTAAGAGTAGAAGGAGAAATGACCTGGTGCGCATTTCCGAAGTGTGGTTGTTTGATAGTGGAAGAATGACGATACTTTAACCTTTGACTGTAGCACACGATAAAACCAAGCACAATAATGAGAAATAATTTAATATTTTCAGAATATCATATATTTATATTACTTAATTAATTGTCATTTAATAATTATATTATCATATATTTATATTACTTAATTAATTGTCATTTAATAATTATATTTAATTAACATTATCATTTAATAAATAACATTATCATTTAATAAATATTTTTAGTTACTCAATACAACATTTTATTTATCAATTTTATTTATTAATCATAATAACATAAAATATTAGTTGTTAATATTATAAAATTATTCAATAATTACCGCCCACAATAATGCACAAAAACTATACATACACACACATATATATATATATATATATATCTATTCTCCATATATATTAGTGTATATACAATTGTATTTGTGTTGTGCGTATATGTATATAATATTTGGATTTTGTTTTGTATATATAATTTTTTCAAAAGGCGTCGTGTTCGCGTTTGATTCTCCTCTGGCATCGACGAAAGGGTGCTAGGGTTGCGCAGAAGGTAGAGTTCTCTGTTTCGTTGTTTGGAGCTGGAAATTGAGCGGGAAAGTTGCTCCACGTGAATTCGAAGGTTCGACTTCTGTTTCTTTGTCTTGACCTCTATTTGGTTGCTGGGAAACACGGAGGAAAAGACGGGGAAAAAATACAGGAAAAAAACAAGAAGAGAGAAAAGAATGAAAATTTCGAACTTACGCTAAAATGAATTTTTGTACGGAATTTAAGTCAATAATCATGTTTTGTTTGTTTTTATTTTATTTTGAATTTTTGTACGGAATTTAACTTCTGTTTGCTGGATTGCACTTGTTAAGAGTATTTATTTATTGTTAAACTGCTAATTATTCATTGAGTATGTATGTGAGTTATTATTATGTGAGCTGAGAACCATAAATTTGATGAAGGGTTAAAAACAAGGGATATTGAATTTGAAGGAAGTTATTTGGTAAGATCACTTCCTTGGATCAGTAGGCCATATATGGAAGCCTGCCGTCTGTGGGGATCAAACCCACAACAAAATGGTTAAAATCCATCTGCTCTACCGGCTGAGCTAAGACGAGACGGCCGATTGATCTTCCAATATGCTAGTTTCAACAACTCTCGTTCTTTACATTTCTTCCTATCTGCTTGGCTTTGTTTAAGCTAATTCACTTTATAGACACTTAAACTGATTGGTTTTCTGTTGGTATGATTGTTTCTGCCACACTTTGCAAATGGGAAGAAGCTCAAATTTAATTGGTTTGAGTTGCTGGGTTTATTTTGATGTGAAAGTTCATGAAAGTATGTGCCATGTGTTTTGGAATTTCTCTGTGTCTATCTAATGGTTCAAAATTTGATTTTTTTTTTTTTTTTTTTTTGGGTGTGTCTTTGGTTCAAAGAGGGTTCAAAAGAAATGTTTGAGGCTATTAAAATTTAAAATTGATGTTTACACTCAGCAGCAAGGCTAGAACTTGTTTATGGATGCTTTTCCAGAGAAAAAACATGCTTATAATGAACTGCTTTATAGTCTTTAATGTACTGGATTTTGATGTGCAGACTATAAGAAAATGACGAAAATATGAACTTAATACCGTGAATATTCTAATTTCAAGTTCTTTTGTCATACCTAGGATTTCTCTGTTTGTTGATCCTCTCCAATTGTAAAAAACCAGTAGTTTAATACTACTTCATATCGGAACATGTAAAAAACAAGTGAATCTTAATATATATTGGATGGATTCACCACTTACATGCTTGAACTTTTAAGTGATTATGAGTTCCCAAACAATGTGTGTTACTCCCCGGTGTTGTGCATGTGGACTCCGCAGTTATCCCCCCATCCACAGATTGGGCCATGTTGCACATACGTGGGCTCTTGGATTCCCCAACACTAAAATAATGGTTAAACATCTACTCTCATCATAGCAATACCTAAATAACATCACACTAATTTAATGGGCTACTTAGTGATCATCCCAATATAATGAATGTCTTTCATTGTCAGTTCTAGAAAATCTTATTCTGCATTAGAAATTGGTACCCTATCCATTGTTGTTCACTAGAAGGCCTCCCTCAAATTACGCTGTTCAGACACTGTTTCCTTGTTATAATTCTTTTTATTCTTTGTATAGCACTTCACAAACATAGAACTCAATTAGTCTTCAATTTATTAGAATGGTGTGAAGCGTCTCCATTTGGTCTAGAGATCGGAGTTGAATCACTCAGGCTGGTAAAGTTGAGTTGTGCACATTCTTATCAGTTGAACCAGTTCCGTGATCTCTTTTTTACGTCTTTATATTTTTATTAAGGAGAATATTTTCATACTCCTCTTGAAAATTAGTATATCTCTTTGATCTTTTGACAAGTATTCAATATCATTGGGGTTGTTGACAGTAGGGCTTTGGTATGGGATGGATTTTCAGTTGGTCTTAGTCTTTTGCCATCAACTATAAATTATAAATTAAGTGTATGAAATCCTCTATGTTTTTTAGATGATTTGCTTTTTATAAGGTAAAGTTGAGTTGTGCACATTCTTATCAGTTGAACCAGTTCCGTGATCTCTTTTTTACGTCTTTATATTTTTATTAAGGAGAATATTTTCATACTCCTCTTGAAAATTAGTATATCTCTTTGATCTTTTGACAAGTATTCAATATCATTGGGGTTGTTGACAGCAGGGCTTTGGTATGGAATGGATTTTCAGTTGGTCTTAGTCTTTTGCCATCAACTATAAATTATAAATTAAGTGTATGAAATCCTCTATGTTTTTTGGATGATTTGCTTTTTATAAGGCTGAAGAGAAAGCGAAATTGTTTTGGAGTTCAACTATTTTGCTCCCAGATGTGTTTTTTTATTTTTATTTTTATTTTTTACCTAATAGTTACAATTTACAAATTACAATTGACAGGTCACGGAAAGGCTGCCTACCTCCTACCTCTCCGACACCCTACTATAAGAGAGAGCCTCGTACTCTAGGTATGACCTTTTTAGTTACAACTGACTGGTAATTGGTTTAATAAATAGCTTTGGGAATTTTCCTTTCAATCCTTCTCTCTCTTTCTCTCTCTCTAAATTATTTTGATGGCCACCTAAATTTTGTAATCTTTCGACTCTGGATTGGTATTGTTGGCGTGTAATATGTACATGGTTCACCTTCTGCATCTGGCATCCATATATGATATAACAACTGTTGACTTCAGTAAAATTTAATTTTCCAATGAGAAGTATCTTGTGGTGTTCATACTTCTTTCCCATCAAAAACAAATAAATGCCTGCTTTTCTTTGGTTAAAGTCATCTTAAGAGGCCTTTATAGAACTCTGATTATGTTTCCATCCAGCTTGCAAAATTTTATGAGAAGTCATCTGTTTTACTCTGCAGCTTGAATTAAAAAAAAATTCCCTTATTCTGCATCTTGTTCCATTTCTCTCATTTCATCTCCATTCTTCAACTTAGCCATGCATGTTCAGAATATTTTTCTTGTTTGATTCTCTCTCTTGCTTTCAGCTTCCTAGCTTTGATGTTAATGCCTTTGATTATGTAAAGATATTGATAGCTCATTGAGTTGCTTCCATTAACAGTTCAAAGAGCATGAACTCTCCAACCGCCCAGTTCGTCTCCTCAAGAAGGATGGGTTTATATGAACCAATCCACCAGATTAGCATGTGGGCAGATTTCAAAGTTAATGGTTGTCCAAATACATCTCCATCTATGATTGTGGAGATGAACACAACACTAAACAACCAGGTGCAACATTTGAAGTTTTGTCCATTTGGTCTTTTATAATTGTGCTTTTTTACTTCTGGGTTTCTAAGCGAAACCTTTTATATGGGCTGTTTGCCTCTAGTCAGAGGATAGTTCACAAGGAACACTAGGACCTTCAAACAAGTTTGACCAAGAGGAAACCAAATCTACTGAGAAGGTAAAAGATATTGCATCATTGTGCATTGACTTATCCTTTCTTTTATATGTATATTTTTCCCATTCTGCTTCTCATTCCCTAGGCCTCATTTGGCAACAGGCTGATTTAGCCAAAAAGCCAAAAAGTTACTAAAAAAGTCAAAAAACCAAAAAGCCAACAACCTATACCAAAAAGTCAAAGATTCTTTTTTCTCTCTATTTTTTGCACATCTTTTCATAAAAAGCCAAAAAGTCATTTCAAACATACTAATTTTTTTTAGCTCATATTTTAGCCAAATAGCCAAAAAGTTACTAAATTAGCCTGTTCCCAAACGAGGCCCTAATATGCCTTTTAGATTTTTTTTTTCCCAGCCTCAATTTAAATCAATGATTAACTGTCGTAGGATTTATATCTCTCTAGATTGGTTGTTAACATTTTTCTGAACTTAATGGATCTTCATACACTACTTTGCAGCTTGCAGTTTTTGCTCCAAGGTTGCTTTCTCAAGTGTGATTGCTTAGGAATTGTAGATGACTGCCTATGTTCTTTCTTATACTTGGTGTCCATCTTACTCTTTGTTATCATTGTATTTGTCTTCTTCATATTTTTCTTCTGTTAAATAGTATTCTACTGTTTTGAACCAAAACATATTTAAATTCTCTTAATCCTATTCCCCAGATCCTCTTCCACCAATTGTGGCATTGTAGAATTTTAAAAGATCTTGCATCAAGCAAATTTTGAAGCTTATGGGGCTATTAACTTTATGCTACTCCGTAGAGTGCATAATGATATTATTTTATATATGGAGATCTATTTTTTAGCTATAAGTTATGATATAAGGTCAATGATCATTTCCATTTTCTGTCTTCTGCCTTCTGATTATGCCAGCCAACTTCTATTTGTCCAAACAGAGGGTTAAGACTGTTTTGCGTATCTTGAAATGGAAAGTTGAATTTTGAAAGAAAAAAAGACTCTGGTTCCCCTGCTTGATGGCCAAACTTCACTTACGTTGAAAGTACATTAGTGATTCCCCCCCAGCCCCTGGATAGTAGCGAATGCACTTGGACTTAATGTTTTAAGATTATATAATCATGCAGTTTTTCCTTGTAAAAAGTCAAGTTGGATTTGTTTTAGTCCTGATGTATTATACCGGGCAGTTTCCCTCCGTTGATGACTGGCATGTTGGAACTATTATTACTCCAATAGTTTATTTTCAATTTTGCTTGCTGACAATTTTCAAAGTATGGTGGTTGTTGGTGGATTCTATATTCTTTATCCCTGTTATTAGAAACACAATATACTAGAAGTTTCTTACTTTAAAAGATTTAAAGGCCATGTTCCCTTTAACCTTTTATTTATTTGATTTATCCTCATCCTTGAAGATCCAGATAAACTAAGACATCTTTATTCTTCTCTTCACTACAAAGACATCTTTATTTTTCTCTTCATTGGTAATCTTTTTTTGGGTAAGCATCTTCATTGGTATTCATATATCTGTCTTCTTACATTCAAATTGACCAAAGCTCTTCTTAGCAGCATAGGCATAATCGATTTCCATCTCTACTATTGTAAATTTGTAAATACAACTCCATTAGTTCATTTTATTGTAGTTTGGCTTTACACATCTATAATTTTTAAGACCTGGTGTTAGATTGGGAGGAATCTATTTGCAAGTTGTCAGAGATTAGTTTTGAGGACCACAATAATTGTGTCAGAGAGAAACATGAGAACAAGTTATTGTGCCTGCCTAATGCAAATTCTTTTCTTATATTACTGCAATTGGAATGACAACTAATTCAATTTGGAACTTTTTGTGGTTGTAGCATCATTATCGCAAAAATTAAATTTTCAGTGTTTATGATTAGTATATGGGTCATGAATCTTTACAATATTTCATATGAAATTTGTCCGATACTTGTATTCTAGCTTTCGCAGATCAAGCATTAGTAATATTTTTTACCCTTCCTGTGGAAGTACTGCAAAAGTGTGATTACCTGCTTCAATGCTGCAGACACTAAACTTATCATAGTGCTTAGTTTTTGTGAAATAGGAGGATTTATTATGTTGATTCACTTTTGTGAAGCTTCTCTGAATATTTTTGTTCCATTTTTTTACAAATTTCTGATACTCTTTCAACGTTGAAGATTATTTCTTAAAGTCTTGGAATTTTGTTCAACAATTGTTAGTAAAACCTGAGTTTACATAATAATTTACAGGTACTTAGGCGTCTTGCACAAAACCGTGAGGCTGCTCGCAAAAGCCGTTTGCGGAAAAAGGTAGGTTGAGTTTCACAGTGAAGTTGATGCCTATGTGTGGAACATTTGTTTTCATTGTTGCTGTTTTCATTCATTTTTCATTGCTAAGATCTTAACACATGAACCTTGGCTGATTTTTTTCTTTCTTCACAGGCTTATGTTCAGCAGTTGGAAACAAGTCGTTTGAAATTGATTCAATTGGAACAAGAGCTTGAAGAAGCCAGACAACAGGTAAGGAAAATCTTGTTTATCCGTCGCTGTTCTGATCAAAGTAAATACTTCCTCTCTCTAAATTTGTATAGTCAACCTATGAATGCTTTACTGCAGGGTTTGTATATGGGTGGTGGACCAGATACTAGTCATCTAGGGTACTCTGGAACTATAAACTCAGGTTTGTTGGTTAATCTGCCTCCACCATTGTCATTACTCTGAACCTTTTCACTACCAAATGTTCCTGTGACTGTTCAACATTTCACGTCATTAACAATCTATGTTGGTTTGGTAGTTGGCAGTGGATTAAGAAAACAGTAGCTAATGGATTTGTTATTTCTGTTTCCTTGTCTTTTGCTAGATAGCAAGCATCAAAATTTCATTTTAGTATGTGGTGTTGGTTAGCTTGGAAACAGAAACATTTTGGAAATGACAAAAAAAATCGGAAACACATGAAAAATGATTGGAAACAAAAACCAAAGCATGAATAAATGTTAATATAGTATCAATAATTAAATGATTGAGCATGTTGATATTTATGAATGTTAGAAGCTCATAAACAAAATATTTAAAGGCTTGGTTGAGGAAGGAGGTTTTCTATTGTAAGAAAAAAAAAATTTAAAAAAAAATACAAAATTCTAGTAATCGTAGGGATTGAAAAAGGGGGGGGGGGGGGGCAGAAGTTTTGATGTATAGATGACAATATTTTAAAAAAAAAAAGGTACTTTGCGTGTTAGCCAAGAAAGAGAATAAGTGCCTTAAATCTTATTTAGTTGTTTGATCTTTTCCTCTCTCTATTTCTCCTCTTCTTTTTTGATTTTTCGATTCTCTAATAAATTTAAGACATTTCTTTGTTCTCTCAAAATTTTCTTTTGACAAAAAGAGGAAAATAGAAATGATCATTGTTGGATATTCCTAATAGGCGTTGAAACAACTATTGTTTCAGTATGTTTGACAGTGTTTTGGTGCATTTCGGTGCAAGCCTCAAAATTTTGATATTCCACTTAATGTTTTGTTTTGGTTTTCCATTTTGATGGAAACAAAACAAAATTTTGTTCCTTAAATTAAAGAGATTGTGTAAATATTGTGTAGTTGGAATTTTATGTTCAAGTGTTTTGTGACAAGTTGAAATTCATGTGACAGTGAAAGCTGTATCTTTCAGATTCTCTATATTTGTTATTTTGAGCTGCATGATTTTCTACTGCATGTTATGGTGATCTTTGATGCCTGACCAATAACAATTTAGAAACCCACAGTACACAAATACCAGTAAAGTTTTGTCATCGAGAAGAATATGCACGGTTTTCCTTGGGGCAGCAATGACATTCTTCAGTTGTACTCATCCTTTTTGGCCCCCAGAAGTAGGAGGCTTTGCTGCTTTACTTCCTTTACTAGATATTATTCTTACTTGCTAAAAATGTAAAAGCCTTTAGAAAAGACAATTAACTATTCAAAGGAACCTTAAATTTTTGTGGAGAAGTTTGGCTCCAGTCAGAAATCAATTTGCACATGGGACTCTCCCAAAATTATTGTCTTGCTTGTTTAGAATATCTGGGTAATATTTTTTACCCTTCCTGTGGAAGTACTGCAAAAGTGTGATTACCTGCTTCAATGCTGCAGACACTAAAATTCTGGCCTTTTTTATTTTTTTTAATTTATGGAAAGGGCAAGCTTACATTATCAAAATGTCGTTTGATGCTTTGGGAAAATCGGAATAACTCAACACTTTCAGTTTTCTTCTTAGCACTAATTGTATGCATTGACTAGTTTCCATTTATGTCTTAATCCTTTCTGAGCCTTTGTAAACCCATTTGCTGCCATAGCAAATACGGTAGTTGTTCAAATCAATGTTTTGAAAACTGGACCGGTGAGCAAACCCGAAAAGTGACCGAGTGGACGGGTCACTGGTTCAACCGCGGATGAACCGAAATTGGACCGTGATGTCATAAATATATTAAAATTACAAAAATAATAAATAATAAACAATTACAAAAAAAATATTTCTTAGAATTTATTTTACGTTTTTTATACATTGACTTTTAGTAAAAATAATTAAAATAATATTGAATATATAGTGTATGTACTTATTAAATTGTTAACAAATGTGTTGATGGCTTAGTGGTTAGAGTGCTTGTTTCTTATGTACTTGGTTCCATGTTCAAGTCCTCGAAAACATATTTTTTGGAAGAATCTTCAATTCTTCAAACCTGGCTGGTTATGATGACCTGCTACCGGTTCGGCGGTTCTACCGATTCAACAGGCTGGTTTTCCGGTTCTCAGAAATAAGGCCGGTTTTGGGTTTCAAACTATTCTAGAGGTTCATCCGGACCGGAACTAGGTCCAGTCACCGGTTGAACCGTCCGGTCCGGTCCGGCTTCCTAAACATTGGTTCAAATGTAAATAAACCAAAGACTTAAACTATGTCCCCGTAAGAGTCATGTTATTCTATTTGATTCTTTGTAATTAAATTCACTTCATATTGAGTAATGGACCATTCAAAGGGGAAAATAAATAATTAGAAAGACCAACTGCTGCACAAAAGTACCTTGGTACGTGAATCTTATCTGTTGCTTTAAGATTCGCATATAATTTTCTGGCATGTTTTATATGACCTTTGTGCACTTATTTCCTGCAATACTTTTCACTTTAATACAGTTTTCTTTCTTTTTTCTTTGAAATTGTCTCCTGCAATTAGCCCCTTTAAAGTACCTTTGCAGGTATTGCCGCGTTTAAGATGGCATATGAACGATGGGTGGAAGTTCAAAATAGACAAATTTGTGAATTGAGGACTGCTTTGAATTCTCAAACAGTTGTTGATATGGAGCTTCGCATCCTTGTTGATGGTGGCATGAACCACTATTTTGATCTCTTTCGCATGAAAGCAACTGCTGCAAAGGCTGATGTCTTCTATCTTATGTCCGGCATGTGGAAGACGTCTGCTGAACATTTTTTCTCGTGGATTGGAGGATTTCGCCCTTCAGAGATTGTAAAGGTGATGCACTGTTATTATTTGAGAATACTGCTGAATGGATCTAAGCATGATTGTGTTGTGTCTTTCTCCAGCGACTTCCTTGTGATTTTCTTAATATATAAATATTTGGGATTCTGGTGTACAAACTTTTCTTTAAATACGAGGCCATGCTTCTTCATTAATGTATCTTCATCACAGGTTCTTATGCCACAGCTTGACCTGTTGACAGACCAACAACGTTTGAATATCTATAACCTCAGACAATCATGTCAGCAAGCAGAAGATGCTCTTACACAAGGAATGGATAAACTCCAGCAAACTGTGTCTGAGACTGTAGCAGCTGGTCAATTGGGTGAAGGAAGTTACATCCCACACGTGAATAATGCAATGGAGAAGTTGAAAGCACTGGTGCTCTTTGTGAGTCAGGTAACAATATCACACTTTCTCGTCAGTGGTTTTTAATAGTTTTTTTCCTCTCATATTAATTGATGCTGTGTCTAGATTGTTTTCTTCATCTATTTTGATACTTCATGCTTTCCCACCAAGAGGTATATTGTCAGTGTATTTTCCTGCATGTGTGTTTGTGTGTGTGTTGGGGGGGAGGGAGACACCCGACACTCACACAAGGGTATGAGATATGTGTCGGATACTTTTCAACGGACATTTCTTATATAATTATATATAATACTATTATTATATGTACATATGATATTGTTGTATAATTGCTATAAATATCTTTTTGATTCTGTAAGTTACATTTTTCACCATTTTATCTCACATATTTGACTAAGAATATAAAAAAATGACATTTGTTTGCCGAGTCCGTATATCCTTAAATTTATGGTTTGATGAGTCTAACCTCTAGATACATGCACACACTCGACACCCGTACCTGAGTTTATTTAACGTATAGAGAGAGAGATAGAGAGAGAGAGAGAGAGAGAGAGAGGGATTATTATTACCGTAGTCATGCCCTGGTTTTACAAGGTTCAACCCCTAGATGAGGACTACAGGTGCAACCCATGACAAAGGAGAATGGATAGATAAAAGATCATCAGAGTATGATTGACATAATCATGAGACAATAAGATTACAAGATGACAAGTAAAACCCGCTCTCCGGTTTATATTCCTCTCAAAACATGATAATTCAAGAAACACATGCATCCTACATTCAATTAGTACATGGCATGAATGTAAAGCATGTGAAACATTACAATTCTTCTATTCAATTACAAGAAAGTGCCTCATGGCTTACACAAATGAAGAGGGTGTAGCCCTTACACAAAAAAGGCTCTTGGCCATACAAAAACAAGGCCCAAGGCTGTACAAAATAGCAAAATAGAGCCCTCATGCTCCTCCATTCCCATGGTTATCACTAAGGCGGTGGCACGCCATCCACTTGAAAAGTTTTAACAACAAAGAGATGAACAAATATGTCCAGTGCGGAAGTTCTTAACTCAAGAAATATGTGTCGAGAAATGGATATGATCATAAATGCATGCACCACGTGATATAATTTTGGAATATTAACTCATTTTTAATGCTCAAATCATGACACATGAATGCTTTATCAAATGCTCCAGTTGTTCTAAACAAATCCCATTCCAATTATGAATGTGGTGAATCCTAGGTAAGTATCTACCAATGGTCTTCTAAGAGAACCACCAAAACCAACCCCCACTTTATTGGTTGCTAGGCGGAAGGAAATTGGTACCTATTCACTTAGGTTTCCAGTCTTTCACCGAGGACCTCAAGTCAACTTCATCGCATTTTCAAAATATACACTACCCGGATTCACCAACTATAATCGTTTCAAAAATAAACTTAAATTCTAACAAGTCAACAACAATTTAATAATTTAAAACCAATTCATTTCCATTTCCGCATGATTTGCCAAAATGTTCCAATGAACAATTCAAAATTTATTTTCAATTTTCTTTAGTAGCAAAAATTTCTACAACAATGAAATTCTCCACCAAGTGTCAACAATTTCAAATCTCTACATTTGCCAGTGCCATAAATATTGACATATAATCGTCAATTTCAAGACCCAAGGTCGTTACATCAACAAATTTCATAATTTCTCTCATTTCAAAATTCTAGGGTTTTGAAAATTAGGGTTTTCTCACTTTTCATGCATAAACTTGAGAATCATCCATGGAAATATACATTTAGCAAGAAAATATTGATAACAAGTCAACATTTAACCAAGCCCTAGATTTGTATGACTTGTATCAAAATCTCTATATATTTCCTCAAAATTTATATGTTGAAAGAATGAATACCACATATACACTATACAATTCATATTTACAAAAGCAAGACAATCTCTATCTCAAAGAGAAGAGGAGAAAGGCCCTAGGATCCAAAAGTGATCAAACTGAAAATTGACTCCTACAAAAATGAAGCTCTTGAAGTGTTCTACAACCTTTTTTCTTGGAAAGTTAGGAAATACTCACTCTAGGTTGCCCAAATCAGAGCTTGAATGTAGTTACAAACTAATTTCTAGAGAGAGAAAGTAGAGAGAGAGAGGGAGGAGGGAAATCAGAGGGAGGAGGAAAAGTGAGGAAGAAAAGAAAGAAAAACGCACTTCTTGACAAAGCAATCGATCACACTCACCAAAGCGATTGATTGCTTTAAAGGGAATCTATCACTTAGCAATCGCTAGGTACTGCTTGAAATCTCAAATTAAATTCAATCGAAGTGATCGCTTTGCGATCGCTTGATACTGCATAAAACTCCCAACTTTAATTGAAGTGGATCAATCGATTGCTCCAAGAAAATTTACAACCCAAATCAACAAATCTCAAACTTGGAATAATAATACTATTTATTTATTTTTGTGTAACAATAGCACCAACAACAACGATAAGGAGAAGTAATTCAACCTCTAAGATGGTTAGGTGACAACTACAATTGATCCAAATGAAATCAAGTGGGTCAGGTTTAGACCCGGACCGTTACAACCTTTAATGCTCATCCTTGTAATGCCATTTTTTAATGTTAAAGCGATATTAACTTTTAGAGCTCCTCAAAGAATGAGTTGAGATTTGACGACCAGAGATATACACATTCTTTCATAGTTTTGGAATTATTTGCTAACATTATTATAGTTTGTCAGCTTGCTTTATGTATATGGTGATTACTTGAAGCAATTTTAATTATGATATGTTGGTCATGAAAGCTATTAAGCTTTAGGTTGTTTAAAAATGCTAGATTGCATTTTTTTTTTTGGTGTTTAGTGGCCTTGTGTTATGGGAAGAACAATCAATGTCAAGGTGTATTGTTGGACTATTTCTAAAGGCCTCATCAGAGAGAAAATAGCTTGGGGTAATGGTTGTAACAAGGCTGGTAAAGAAGTTAAGAAAGGCTAGCTTGGAAAAGGGAGATCTTTTCCCTCTTTCCTGTTGGAAGCTGTTGAATGCACACATATTTGTATTTCAGAGTTGAGACATCATAGATTCCTTCAGGAGTATCCAAATATCACGGAACTGTGGTTTGAAAGATAATTTTGGGTGACATTTTGTAGCTCAATGATAAATGAGTAAATAATAAGCTGGGCTGTATAAACTCTCCATTGTGGTTGTTTATTTTATTCATCAAAGGGAGGTGTATTCACTTCAATGAAACCTGCAAAGGACCTGAAATATGTTTTTAAGTTACTCATTTCTATCTTTTAAGGGTCATTGCATGGTGTACTCGGAAAAGATTGGACTTTGGAGGACCAAAACATAGTTTAGACTGTGGGGGCGGTTATGCTCATTCCTTTTCTATCAGAGATCAACATTAAGTTTTAGTCTCTCTTTCTCTCTCTCTCTCTTCCTTCTTGGAAACTTGGATATTGAGAACTTCTCTGTAAATTCAGTGTCTTTATCGGAAACTACAAGGCTCCACGGATATATTTCAACTTGGGTACAAACTAACATATTGACCATTCTACATCAGAAAATGAAATATTGGGTTTAATAACTATGTTTTGGTTTTATTTTCTCAAGTGATAGATATACATTTGCATATGCACACATGCTTAATATTAAAGATTAGACTTCATATGTATGCACATTATATATATATATATATATTTAAAATCAGCTTATAGATGTACTTTATAATTTAACGGTATGTCTTGAAGGGTCTTGATGTGCCTTTTTGCGTAAACAGGCAGATCACCTTCGCCAGGAAACACTGCAACAAATGTCTCGCATCCTAACCACCCGCCAAGCAGCTCGGGGTCTACTTGCGTTGGGAGAGTACTGTCAGCGCCTTCGGGATCTGAGTTCACTTTGGGACAGTCATCATCGTGACCCTGCCTAGTCAATGCAAGAAGCAAGAATCAACAAGCCACGAACAAATTTTAGTGGGGGTAACTATCAGAAGAAATCATTGTTCAGCAGCCATATATGTACACCCCTTGTTAATCTTCAGTTATATGTATGGACATAATCTGAGTTGCTGACATTTTTCGTGCAGCCTCCCACAATTGAGAATCTGTACATATGAATCACTATTTTATCAGAGGAAGTTTGTGACTACTACATTTTCAATGCTTGTACATTACCTACATAAAACTCTAGATGGGACTTATCGTGTAAATTGCCAGTTATAATTGATTTATTTGTATTTTGAGTTTTTGTAAAAATGTATATAGATGAAACAGTAGAAAAGCGGCGCTCGCTTCGGAAATAAATGGATGCTGAAGAACACATGTACTGCAATAGAAGAAAGAATGGATTTTTATGATGGAACAAGCAATGTAAATTAATAAAATTTCCACATAAGCATGTGGAAGACATGTATTGATGCTTGAAATTCTTACAGGCAATTTATATATGTCTGGTTCATAGTTTCCATTCAGATTTACTGTACAGAGATTGCCCCTTTTTACTCTTCGTGTTTGACTTGCATTGATTGGTCATTATTAGAGTGGGCTCATTGCCCCTTTTTACTCTTCATGTTTGACTTGCGTTGATTGGTCATTATTAGAGTGGGCTCACAACACTAACCAATCATTACAAGACACCTGTTTCAAGCTTGAATAAAAGCTGTGAATCTTCGATGTTACAATATTTTGGTCTTTATAGCATTGTGATAAAATAGTATTGCTAGATTAAGATTAGAGCATTGCTTTGTATGGGCTCGCTTTAAAAAATGAATCAAACCAGAATTTTTTTTTTTCTCACTTGTTTTTATTATATTTATTTTACAATTCTTTTTACAAATTTAAAATTTAAACACTATTATGTCATGTTTGTTTGGACAGACTGGATGAAGAGATTGTTATCCACTGGACTATTAGTCTTGGGATACATTGTCTGCGGACTATTTGGTCGGACTATGCTCATTCCTTTTCTATCAGAGATCAACATTAAGTTTTAGTCTCTCTTTCTCTCTCTCTCTCTTCCTTCTTGGAAACTTGGATATTGAGAACTTCTCTGTAAATTCAGTGTCTTTATCGGAAACTACAAGGCTCCACGGATATATTTCAACTTGGGTACAAACTAACATATTGACCATTCTACATCAGAAAATGAAATATTGGGTTTAATAACTATGTTTTGGTTTTATTTTCTCAAGTGATAGATATACATTTGCATATGCACACATGCTTAATATTAAAGATTAGACTTCATATGTATGCACATTATATATATATATATATATTTAAAATCAGCTTATAGATGTACTTTATAATTTAACGGTATGTCTTGAAGGGTCTTGATGTGCCTTTTTGCGTAAACAGGCAGATCACCTTCGCCAGGAAACACTGCAACAAATGTCTCGCATCCTAACCACCCGCCAAGCAGCTCGGGGTCTACTTGCGTTGGGAGAGTACTGTCAGCGCCTTCGGGATCTGAGTTCACTTTGGGACAGTCATCATCGTGACCCTGCCTAGTCAATGCAAGAAGCAAGAATCAACAAGCCACGAGCAAATTTTAGTGGGGGTAACTACCAGAAGAAATCATTGTTCAGCAGCCATATATGTACACCCCTTGTTAATCTTCAGTTATATGTATGGACATAATCTGAGCTGCTGACATTTTTCGTGCAGCCTCCCACAATTGAGAATCTGTACATATGAATCACTATTTTATCAGAGGAAGTTTGTGACTACTACATTTTCAATGCTTGTACATTACCTACATGAGACTGTAGATGGAACTTATCGTGTAAATTGCCAGTTATAATTGATTTATTTGTATTTTGAGTTTTTGTAAAAATGTATATAGATGAAACAGTAGAAAAGCGGCACTCGCTTCGGAAATAAATGGATGCTGAAGGACACATGTACTGCAATAGAAGAAAGAATGGATTTTTATGATGGAACAAGCAATGTAAATTAATAAAATTTCCACATAAGCATGTGGAAGACATGTATTGATGCTTGAAATTCTTACAGGCAATTTATGTATGTTGGTTTCATAGTTTCCATTCAGATTTACTGTACAGAGATTGCCCCATTTTACTCTTCATGTTTGACTTGCATTGATTGGTCATTATTAGAGTGGGCTCACAACACTAACCAATCATTACAAGACACCTGTTTCAAGCTTGAATAAAAGCTGTGAATCTTCTATGTTACAATATTTTGGTCTTTATAGCATTGTGATAAAATAGTATTGCTAGATTAAGATTAGAGCATTGCTTTGTATAGGCTCGCTTTAAAAAATGAATCAAACAAGAATTTTTTTTTTTTCACTTATTTTTATTATATTTATTTTACAATTCTTTTTACAAATTTAAAATTTAAACACTATTATGTCATGTTTGTTTGGACAGACTGGATGAAGGGATTGTTATCCACTGGACTATTAGGCCTGGGATACATTGTCTCCGGACTATTTGGTCGGACTGGATTTGTATTCTATGTTTGTTAGTCATGGGATTAAATGTCTGGATTGGATTATTCTATTGAATCCTAGGTTTGTTTAGTATATTATGGAGAAGGACAAATGCTTAAAAGACTATTTTGCCCTTTTGAATTATTTACTAAATAATAGGAATATTAAATCTGAATTATAAATTTTACTTTATTTTTTTACTAGAACTTTAAAAAAAAAATAGAATATTAATAAAAATTACATAAATTTAATTTAATTTGTAGTTGAGATTTTTAAATTTTATTTTACTTTACTAAGTATAATTAATGCCATATTATTAAAATAAATAATTTAATAAAGTATAAATAATTTATTAAGTATAATAGTATAAATAATTTAATAAATTCAGTATAAATAATTTAATAAATAAATTTTATTTTTAAAAAGATATTAAATAGTAGAGAGTCAAAAATATAATTTTACTATCTAATCCCATGAGATGAATTATTCTATGAATTGTGTTTCACTCCCACCCCATGGGATAGAATAATATCATAGATTTGAGATACATAGTCCGACCTAATCCCATGAGATGAATTATTCTATGAATTGTGTTTCACTCCCACCCCATGGGATAGAATAATATCATAGATTTGAGATACATAGTCCGACCTAATCCCATGAGATGAATTATTCTATGAATTGTGTTCCCCCTCCCCCCCCCACCCAATGGGATTGAATAATCTCATAGATTTGGGATTCATAATTCTGTGTAAAAAATTTCAATCAAACAACAGACTATTAATCCGGATGGACTATTAGTCCTATCTTATGCTTGAATCATTCCAAACAAACACCACCTAACATTTTAGTATTTTTTATTCCTTTCTTTTCTTTTACTTTTATTTCTCTTTGAGAGTGTTTTGTTGGTATTACAAAGGTTGACATCATAGTTGTGATTTACTCCTAACTTTGCTTTGGCTCCAATATTTTTATTTACGAAACTTCTAATCCTAGTAACATATCATAGAAATTTCAGCGTGTTAAGATCCCGACGTTATCCTACATAATAGTAATGATAATAGTAAAAGTGAGTGTAACTATGTGAATATAAATCTATTGAACACCCTTCTCTTGTAAGCTCAATTTCAAGAGTGAATTATATTTAGATATTTATATTATTTGGTATCAAAACTAACACCCACGACAAGTATGAGATAACATGAGGTTTGATTTTATGATTCAAGCCACAAAGGGAGCAATCTGTAGATGAGATCATATGAGTTGCAATTTGAGCTGCGAACGGAGCGACCTAAGGTTGAATTAAAATTCAAAATACCAGTAGGTGAGTAAAACCGGCAAAAGGAGGACCATCCTTGGGTCAATGTTGATAGAGTTAGTTGCCAAGATAGTGATCTGTTAACCATTCTAACATTATATGAAATCAGATTATTGAGAGCTTGATCATGTGAATATAAATTTTGTCGAGTAGCCATTGTAGGTAAACTAAATTCATTGGCATGCCTTAACCTAATGGGATGTGGTCCAAATACATTTTTTTCAACTTTGCATTAGGTCCGCACAAATGAACATCTTCAATTCCAGAAAAGTTGATATTCTTATTCAGAGCTAAAATTTTATTTTCCACCCATTTAGAACTCAAGGAAACATAGAACAAGCAATAGTTTTTCATCTCCTTGACTTCTAGTTTTCCCAAGATTCACTTTGAAACAAGTGCAAGAAGACAGTCAGACTTCCAAATCATGCTGGCCGGTAGAGCATATCTTCTCACAACTTAGATATGGCATAGTCCAAAGCATCAACCAGGAAATCTGAGCAAAGAACAAAAACAAAAAACAAAAAAAATCAAACATTAAGAAGATCAAAATTCCCTTGGTTGTGTTTTCATATTCTGGTTCATGTTTTGACTTTGCAGAAAACATTGTGAGACAGATAGAGTACCTGCATCATCTTTGTTGAAACACATAGGTGGCTTTATTCTGAAGACATTTCCATGTAGTCCCCCTTTTCCAACTAGAACACCGAGCTCTTCATTCAAGAATAAGTAAATGATCAGGATTTGGAGAAGAAATTCAATGAAAATTATAGTAAATTACAGTTTCAGAAGGGTGCAGAAAGGTGCACGCATACCTCTAAGTTTCTCAAATAGAACTGCAGTTTCTGCCTTGGCAGGCGTCTTCTCTTTTCTATCGGTCACAAGTTCTATACCTACCATCAAGCCCCGGCCTCTCACATCTCCAATAACTAAGTATGAGATCAAAACAAATAAATATGTGAAGGAACATCTTTAATACTAATCATTCTGAATTCAAAATAACACGCATTTTGGGTGAGTAAATCATATTATTCATGTAAAACTATTATCACAATCATAATTTTTTGAATTGTCAGGGAAGCAATCTGTGACCTAGCCTACTACCTCTTATTCATCAAACACTGATCTTTTCAGTGATGTCAGAGACAATGTTCTGCTTCCTCCGTTTAGGCAGACATAAGTGTCAAGTTCTTTGGATGAGTTAAAGAGATAAGATAGTTAGGAGAGCTGAGTCCAATTAAACAGATTGGTGAATTCATAGCTGAGTTCAACTAAACAGAGGGTTCTATATTGAGGTGAATTCATGGAACATAAACTATCCATTTAGGCAGACATAAGAGTTAAGTTCTTTGGATGAGTTAAAGAGATAGGATAGTCAGGAGAGCTGAGTCCAATTAAACAGATAGGCGAATTCATAGCTGAGTTCAACTAAACAGAGGGTTCTATATTGAGGTGTATTCATAGAACATAAACTATAAAGTAACTAATAAAGGATGGAAAAAAAGAAGAAAAGGAACTAGCTCAGAAACACATCAAGACTAATATGCCATAGACTCCTATTAAGGGTGCCATTGAATCAACTTAGAACAAGCCAAATTCTAATTGAGTAAATGCTTGATGCGTACAAGAAGCGCAATAACACTTAAGGGACAATATTGAAGGACATTATGTGATGATAACCAAATGTTATGCAATTCCCTTTAGCTTGATGTAGGAAATAAATATCAAAATGCTTGCCATGACCTATCAAATTATTGGATAGCTTGATATACTTTGTTGGGTCCATTCCTAACAATTTAAGCTTTTGGAACTAGTGGTGATGTAACATGGTATTAGAATTCAAGTTAGGGAGGTGTTAGATTCAAGTCACTCCATTTGCATTTGGTCCTTGTTTACATTCTTTCTTCACTCTATGTATGGATGTCTGCATCTCCACATACAAGACATGGTTACTTGAGGGAGGATGATAGATAGCTTGATATACATTGTTGGACCTATGAACTAAATGAGGCTAGACCAGTTGGCTAGAACCCTTGTACCTCACCAGCACAAGACATCCCCCTCACTAGGAGGTCAAGGGTTCAAGCCTTGCTACAGATAAGACTCCCAACTCCCCAGGCTACAGCCTCCTATGTAACCAGCCCCCAAGGGAAAAAGAAAAACCCATGTCATTGATTTGCATTCTGAATTCTTTTCTTTGTTAGGGTCAAGAATATTGCAAATAAGCATCTAAAGAAAAATTAGAGAAGAAACTCCAAGATGGCAACTTGAATGGATATTACTTTCATGTTTTTGCTGAAGATTGCTCAAACGCCCAATCAAATGGGAACCAACATCAGAACAATGCTGTTGACGCTTCTCCTTATCAAGCACTCTGAGCACTGCAAGTCCACCAGCAGAACATACAGGGTTCCCACCAAAGGTGTTAAATTGTATCTTCTGAGCCATCACACTAGCTATTTCTGGCGTTGTCACAACTGCTCCTAAAGGCAATCCATTGCCAATACCCTGGTAATCACAATTTGTGAAATTCAAAAGTCAAGGCAGAAGATTTATACTAATAAAAAATAAAATAAAATAAAATAACACTGAGATGAAAGCTAAATGCACACTGGAACAAGCTATGCTTTCAGAATTAAGATAGAGATTTAAAACCACTTGTGATAATAAAAGACCTTTGCCATGGTGACTATATCAGGAATGGCACCCTGTGTTTCAAAACCCCAGTAATGGCTTCCCGTACGACCAAATCCAGTTTGCACTTCATCAGCAATACAGACCCCACCAGCCTTGCGTACCATGTCATAAACTAATTTCAGATATCCAGGTGCTAGTTCAACAGCTCCTCCAACTCCCTAGCATTTTCCGGAATAAATTGATGTGAAATTAGAGGTGCCACAGTTGATGTGGTCAAGAAACTCAATTTTGTGTACCTCCTTCGAGAAGTAATTATCACTAACCTGAATGGTTTCAGCAATAAAACCTGCAACTTTTCCTGAAGTACCATAATCAATGTGATCTTGTACTTCTTTAGCATAGTGACTGGCGTCAGAACCAAATGTTCCACGATATGGGTCTGGATTCATAACATGATGAATTTCACCCTGGAAAGTTCCACAGTAATCAAAGAGAAATCACAGAATGATTGGCATGTCTAACTGTACTTTGCAAATTACCAAAGAGTGCTTCATGATGATTCTATGGTAAGATACTATATGATGGAGACTCAGTACATGATTTCAGCTTTGAATATTCTGCATGTCCCTTCAGATATATAATTCTTTATACAAAAGGTAAATATCTGAATGGATTAAAAAATCCACAACATTTTAAAAAAAAGAGAAGGCACTACAAATTCATGATCTCTCTCTCTCTCTCTCTCGGGCATAAATTCCATGTTGCTTTTCTAGGATAATTGTAACAAGTTGCAGTTGAATATCAGGACTAGCAATTATATCCTACTATATATGTATATGCATACATATATATTTGTGACTTCGTTTATTATTAGGAAATTTCTGAAAGAATAAAAAGAATATTTCATAAGTCAATCAAATCTTATTGGAAATGTTCTATAAATAACCATATGTGTCATCAGTGATCACCATTGTTCTCAAAATAGCATTTGTTACTATTGTTATAATGGCACCAACAAGTTACAAAGGAGCGCAGGTAGTGAAACTCATTGAGAGGAATCAACAAAGTAAAGAAAAACGAGTCAACATCTTAATGTGTATTTGAGAGATTGCCCTTGGGCTGAGGAGTGTCCACATGAGTTTGTTGAGATGTCTATACAGGCATAGAGTATTAAAAAAAAAAAAAAAAATGGTAGCCAGGTAGAAGACAAAAGCATTGTTATCCAGTGGAGGGCAGCTTATTTTGCTTAAAAACATGATCTCTCCTTGATGCCTATATACACCTTTTGGTGGGGGTGGTGATGAAGATGAAAGAAAACGTCACTGGATATCTTTTTATACTACGCGCCTACCTATTCAGAGGGTTTTTGGGTCCCCCTACTACAAGGCATTTTCAAGATCATTCCAAGGCTTTTCGTATGAAGTTGACCTAGTCAATAAGAGGAAGTCAGACTTTGGACTGCATTTTTCAAAAGAAAGTATCTGAAAGGCCCTATGGTTTGACGCTTCCAAACCTGGAAGTACTGTATTATAATATACCATAGCTGGTGTATAATGTAATCTGTTGTAATAAACAGTCTTAAAGAACCTTTTTCTGTTTTATAACTAAATTAATGTAAGTTTCAAACAAGCAAGTATAAACAAATCAACAGGTCTACAGATTTAAATTTAACGTGTGAGATTTTAAATTATTCTTCAACTTTCACAACACTATTTGGACAATTTTACTGTCAAATTCGTTTATCTATGTTAAGTAGAAAAATAAAAGGTAAGCTGGTGTACCAAATAGAAAATGCAATATCTAGAGGGATAGGGGGGGAATGGGTCGTATTTGTTGAGCTGGATCTAGGGCAAGTGCTTCCTTTCTTACAGCTGGCGTATAATGTAATCTGTTGTAATAAACAGTCTTAAAGAACCTTTTTCTGTTTTATAACTAAATTAATGTAAATTTCAAACAAGCAAGTATAAACAAATCAACAGGTCTACAGATTTAAATTTAATGTGTGAGATTTTAAATTATTCTTCAACTTTCACAACACTATTTGGACAATTTTACTGTCAAATTCGTTTATCTATGTTAAGTAGAAAAATAAAAGGTAAGCTGGTGTACCAAATAGAAAATGCAATATCTAGAGGGATAGGGGGGGAATGGGTCGTATTTGTTGAGCTGGATCTAGGGCAAGTGCTTCCTTTCTTACAGAAAGATGTAAGCAATTCAATTTTATGAAAAGAATGAAAAACTAAACCACAAGCTAAATCAACAAACTGAAGAAAAATGATTCATTAAAGCCATAGGTTCAAATGTCTCATGATTGAATAAAAAGCATCTCATTGGCAATATATATGCCAACCCAAGTTGCCGTGTCAACCATTTTTCAAGCAAAAACACTATGAACAAATTAGAAAAAAGAAAAAAATGTTTTGAGGTTCAGCTGACCAAGTCAATGAATATATCATAAAATTTATGTATTAAAATTTAAATTATGGCTGGCAACCAAACACTGCAAATAATTATGAATCTTTATAAGCTCTAATGGATAACTGACCTGTGGTATTGGGTACTTCCATGTGTTAAGAGCCGTTAATCCAATTGTACCAGCACTTCCACCATGATAGGCATTCCTCAAGGCGATCATACCAAGATTACCACTGTATAGTCGCGCCATTAGCATTGCTAATTCATTTGCTTCGGTTCCAGAATTTACAAAATACACAACCTGCATTTCAAATTGAGTTTAAAAGGTAACCAACCATCTTAGATTCATTCTTTGTAGTCTAACTTCACAAAACAGAACCTTTCAGGATGCATCCCATTGCTTGACAAATTGACAATATTGCACCATGAAATTGAAATGCAACAAAAATAATGCAAGGGAGAGTAATCAATTACCCTCGTATTGTCCATAAACTTTACCCAGATGAATCTTAAAAACATCAGATAAGAATAATATCAATTCTCAACATTTGATGATATAACCCTCAAATTAGAAATCTAACTTGCGTAGAAAATGCAAGCTATACTTACCACAAATATAAAAAAAAACAGTGGTAGTAATATATCAAGATTTAGATTCTAAAGGATGAACCTTTAGGTTTCCGGGCATCTTAGATGCCAATGCCTCTCCAAAATCAGCTATGGCGTGGTGTAGGTAAATGGTTGTAGCATGCTGAAGAAGCTTGCTTTGTTCCACTATTGCATCCAAAATTTGAGGATGGCAATGACCACAAGACACGGTAACTATTCCAGCAAATGCATCAAGATAGCGCTTGCCACTCTCATCAAACAAATATTGCATCTTTCCTTCAACAATATTCAGCTGTGCATACAATGTAGAGTTAGAAGCAGAAATTGTCGGTAACAAATAAATTGTAAACAAACGGTGCAGATTGAAGAATGAAACTCTATGAAATACAAAAGGAAATTTAATATCTCACAGGCATAGCAAAAAATATGACATGTACTCTATGACTAAAAGGTATACCAAACTAGCTTCGTTTGGCATTGACTAATATAGCCAACTTTTTTGTATTGGGATTTTTTTTGCCTGGCTTTTTTAGTCTCGTTTGGTTTGGATTTTTTGGCTTTTTTGACGTTTGTGAGAAAAAATTGTAATAATTATCGGTTGAATGTGATATTTTGTGTAATTAGCTTATTTAGTGTACTTTGTCATTTTGTGCTTTTTTAGCCCCAAAATGATAGCCAAACCCAGGCTAAATTACAATATATCTTTGAAATAGGTTTAGACTCAATATAATGCATATCAATATTTTACGTCAACTTTAGCAACTCTACTTGTTAGTGGTTATTTGAAGTTGAAACTTATTTTACCTTACTACTCTTTATCTTTTTAAGCATCAAAGACCAAACATTAAGGATTTATACCCTTACTAAGAGACACCTAATATGTAACTAAAATTCAAAATTCCATTTCCTGAACCATGTAATTAGAGAACCTAAATCAACCTCCCTAAAACATTCAGGTTAGAAACAAGCTTCATATCTCAAATTGAAACAAATAGAATAAAATTTGTGCTTCTGGAAAAGCCCTTTTAACTCAATCACACAAGGAGATACACAAGATTTTAGGACAATTTGATCATGTAAGAATTAATGTATAGAGAAAGAGAGAATAAATTGTGTATATATTGATGTTATTGATTGTTGTATATTACAAATGGTGAGGGGCTCCTTATATAGGAGAAAATACAATCCTTACAGACAATGGACAATGATGGCTCATGATGAAAAGAGCCGAAAGCAATCCAAAAGCAATGCACTGTATTACGTATTATATTAGCCGAAAGTTGCACTATATTATATTACTAACAGCCCCCCTCAAACTCAAGGAGGATAGGAACCAATCAACTTGAGTTTGAAGAGAGTAACAAAACAGGAAAATAAAATAGGATAGGAGACACTGTATGGTCGTGTCGAACCGTTGTTGAAGACACGGTATGGTCGTGTCACACCGTTGGAGAAGACACTGTATGGTCGTGTCGGACCGTTGTAGCAGATAATGTCTGGACAGTTTACGAGGTCATGCCGGACCGATGTAGAAGTTAACCGGAATCAATGTCGGGACAGTTTATGGGGTCATGCCGGACCGTTGTAGAAGATTGTGGTGGTGCACCAAGGAGGCGACTTAGGGAGTGCGCCATGGGGTGGCTTGAGTGGTTCTCATGGTGTATAACCATGCTCACCAGCTTGAGTGGTTCGCATGGTGTGTAACCATGCTCACCATGATATATGTATAACCCCCCCCCTCAAACTCAAATAAGTGTGAAGATAGAAACCTATTTGAGGTTGAAACAAAGGGATTAATAAAGTGGAGTAAAATGGCTCAACACAGAGTGGAGATGTTAAAAAAAAAAGGTATTTTTTTTTTTTTTAAATATATATATATATATATGAAAAACGAAAATGATAAATACGGGGATAAGAAGAAGAAAAAGAAAAATAACTTGTCAAAAGGCTGAGGAACATGCCATGTGTGTGTCATGATAAGAAAAGGCAAAAGAAAGAAAAAAAGAGGAAAATTCAAACGGGAGTGGAGACAGGTTACTTTTACTGAAAGACAAAATGTAGTGGATGTTAATATTAAAATAAAAAGAAAGGAAAAGTGAGGGTTTAAAGTGAGAGAGAGAGAGAGAAAATATGTTTGTTTTTCCATCTGTGTATAGTCAGCCCAGATAATGGTCTCCTCCGTACACGCACACCGAGAGAGAGAGAGAAAGAGCTTGGTGAGTGTATTGCAAAGAGAGAGACCCAACATAGATAGAGATAGAGATACCGCTAGAGGGCCAGAGCTGAGGCCGTGCGTCTGTGTGTGTGCATGGTCTGTGTGTCTGAGTGTGAGAGAGAGCTACCTAGGAATGTCTAGAGAGAGAAGAGAGAGATGGGTTTGGTGTGTGCCGTGTGTGTGTGTCTCCTCGAGTTGCTGCTGTGTTTCTCTTTCTGCGTAGAGAGAGAGATGCATGCCGAGAGGAAGAAGAGGTGCCGAGAGAGTGAGAGAGCTCTGTTAGAGTGAAGTGAGCGGGTGAAAGCAAAATAGTACGTTAAAAAAAAAAAAATAGTGAAATGAGTGGGTGACAGCAATTGTTGGGTCCAGCAGAGAGAGAGAGAGCAAAGTTGGGTGACATTACTGCAATTGCTTTAGCTGCAGTGATTCTTGAAGGTGCCTCACAGTGGACGAGCATTTCGTCGAGAGAGATCGGAAGGGTGGTGTCGTGGCCGTGGACAACCATGGAGGCGGAGTCGCCGACGAGGCAGATATCGATTCCGGCGGTGTAGAGGTGGATCGCGAAAGGGTAGTCGTACGCGGTGACCATGGTGATGGGTTCGCCCTTGCGGTGTTTCTGCCTGAGGTGAGTGAGAGCCAATGACGAGCTGGACTGACGATGGAGAGAGTTTGTGTGTCTCTGTTATGTGCCTCTGTCGTGTGTGAAAGCTGGTGTGTGTATGTATCGAGTGATGGCAATGGTGGTGTGTTTCAGTGAGATGCCGAGAGGGAGAGGAAGGTTTGAATTGGTTGAGATCCGGCGGGCGGGAGTAGGGCGTGGGCTGCGACGGCGACGGCGACGGCGGAGCCAGTGATGGGAGGGTTGTGTGGATCGTTGCTGATCTCTGTGATGCGACTAGGGCCATTCGATGTGAGTTTCGAGCTAGAAGAGCCATGGAGGTTGGTTGAACTTGCAGAACCTGCCGTTGGAGATGATGGACCAGAAGGTAATGGAGTTGATGGAGGTTTCAATAAGCATGGTTGGGGTCCGGCGGGCGGTGAAGGCAAGGTTGCCGCCCGCCGGAAGGTGAAGATCACCAAGAGCTAACCTATAGCTCTGATACCATGTAAGAATTAATGTATAGAGAAAGAGAGAATAAATTGTGTATATATTGATGTTATTGATTGTTGTATATTACAAATGGTGAGGGGCTCCTTATATAGGAGAAAATACAATCCTTACAGACAATGGACAATGATGGCTCATGATGAAAAGAGCCGAAAGCATTCCAAAAGCAATGCACTGTATTACGTATTATATTAGCCGAAAGTTGCCCTATATTATATTACTAACAGATCAAATGATCGAAAATGTAAAAATAAATAAATAAATAAATAACAAATAAATGTGAATGCTTTTTGCTATCATGACCAATTCGAAAGTCGAAATCTTAGATTTAACATAACAAAAACTTGATCAGATTTCAGCAAGTATTAATCCAACTAAACATTTCAAATACATATCATACATATACATACAAGTTTGTTTCCTTCCAATTGAGTATAAGTTGATCTACAAATCATCAAATAATCATATATATATATATATGTATGTATATTGCAATCTTACAGGCTTCTGGTAATAGTAGAAGAGAGAGGGGCCGAGAAACTTCTTGCGCTTGGCGAGTACTTCATCGGCAGAGGGTCCATTGTAGGGTTTGGGGACGTAATCGAACGGAGGCAGCTCCGGCGGCGCCGCCAGAGAGGTTCGGACGGCGAGACCGTGCAAATGCTTGGCCTGAAGGCTTCGAGAGATGAGATTCCTCCTTAACGCCATGGATGATCGGTATTCCAACTACACTTTCTCTGCAAAATCGATTTATGTAAACGAATAGTTCGAGAGATTGAGCGGAGAATGATATGTGTACAAGTTTGGCGCCTAATTAAGGGAATTTATGGTGGAAATGGTGACATGAGTTTTGAAAGTTCTTTACCAAATTTTAAAGCTCATCGGAGACGGTGACAACAAAGCGACTGAGCGGAGTGTAGTGTAGTGTAGTGGACTGCTGACCAAACAAGATTCGATACGGAACGGAACCTTGGAGTTTTTTTTTTTTTTAAAGTGAATTGAAAATATGGATGTTTGGGTTAACTTTTTGACTTTTTATGGAAAAATGTGTAATAAAAAATTGTAAAAATTGGTTTGTAGAGGAAAATTTGAATTGGGAGTTGTGCAGCCGTAATTGTTGACTTTTGGTGAATAGTGTTAACTTTTTAACTTTTTGAGTAACTTTTTAGCTTTTTGGCTTATTTGGGACTTCCCAAACTTAGCCTTAGTAAAACTTCTCTCTCCAGCTTTGTATAGTAGGAGAGGTCTAAAATATATTTTTATTAGCTAAAGTCCTTCAACATTTTTACAGAGAAAATTCGACCAAGAGAAATTTCAAAAATTTTCAGTAAAAATTGAAATTTCTCTGTGTTGGGATGAAATTTTTTTGAATCGGATAAAATTTTTTTGAGTCAAATTTTTTTTATAGAAATATTGAGAGACTTTAATTATTATAAAAATATTATATATTTTTTATTTTAAAAAACTCAATATAATGGACCTTAAAAAAAATTTCTATTATTTTTACTCGTTTCAACTTACGTTAGCCTAGTACGAGAGAAAGAACTTACACTGGCCTAATAAGAGAGCGAGAGAGAGAGAGAGAGAGGGGGAAAAAAAAAATGAATCATCTCCAAAGGCTTCACATGAAACGCTAACTTTCAACCTTCATTGGCTTCTTTTGGCTGGTTTTTTGATTTTTTAAATTTTTGACTATTTTAATTTATGATTAAAAAATCTCGTTTTGAAAGTTTTTTTAATTTTTTAAATTTTTTATGAGAGAAAAAATGTAATAATTTTAAATTAAATATGACGTTTTATCTTATTAAACTAAAAAACTTATTTTATTTTTTTAACTAATTTAATCAAAAAAATCTCAAACTCATACTTTCCGAACAAACTCATTATAAGGTTGGAGAGCATATCACTGTATTACAAGATTATTATGAAGGGCTCTGCTAGAGAGCTCTAATTAGAGCTGCTTGAGCTGCTGTTGGAAATGGTTAATTTTTCCTCAAGTTAGGTCTATTTTTTAGGTGGGCCCCGAGTGTTGATTTACTCGGGTCAAAGTGGTAACGCGTTCTATGCCGCGTTGTGATTCACGTGGTATATTTGGTTGCTCAAAACCATTACCGAGTGAATGGGAAATTGAAGCCAAAGTGTGCTCCATGGAAATGAAGTTATGGTGGAAATTCCTTAAGGTTGTAAATTGGCTTGTCCCAATAAATCTAATCGGGACAGAAGATGTGTAGAACAGAGTAAGGGAAGCACAACTCGTCCCTATTCCACTTCTTCAACGGGGTAGGGAAAACTCGTGCGGGATGGGGCAATGGATACAGATACAGTGCGGGATGGAAGAAAATGCTTATTTTCTAACACTATAACATATAAGAGTTTTAGAGACCAATTGTTTTGGTCTCTACAAGTGAAAATTTTGTTACAAAAGACATTTACGGATTAATTTCCATCGTCATGAAAATAGTCACTAAAAAATCGTCCCGAAAAGTTAAAAATAAGGCATTTAACAACAAAATTTTGAAAATGTCACTAATAAATAGACTTTTAAGGACAAAATAATTTAATTTTAAAATGATTTATTTTTCTAGACAAAAAATTTGGTCTAAAAGAATAATAATTCATCACTAATGTCTAATTTTTGTTGCTAAAAATAAAATGACGACACTTTTCACAACTAAATTATTCGGTCTTTAAAAAATAATTTTAACTTTAAATTATGATCCTTAAAACTTTAATTTTTTTGTAATATAAGACTATGGATCGGAACATAACCTTGACGAGGAGAGGTTATTTGCTGATTTTGATGCGATTCTTCATTTATCCTATGGCATTCCTTATATTGTCTAAAAATACATAAAAATGATGAGTTTCACAATTTTAAGCAACAAAAATCAAGTTATGAGATCATAAAAAAAAAAAGAAAAAAAAAAGAAGAAGAAATAGAACATTAACACAAAAAGATGTCATATATAGAACAAATATGTATAATAGAGTGTATATGATACATATTCTTTAAGAGGTGTGTATTGAAGGGATTTTCTCATATCATACAATGAAGGAGAAATCACAATTCGGTGTATATTTAAAAAATAAATAAATCAATAAATCAATACTAAATTTGTCAACTTTAATAATTAAAGTTATAATTTTTTTTTTATAAATTTATAAATATTTTGTGAAAAGACCACCAATTTGTAATTTTCCTCAAAATAACCCTTGTTTGCATCCTCAATCATAAGAGTAATGTTACATAAAATCTCATTTTTTCACTCCTTGACACAAGATAATGAAACTTACATTAAGAAATGCATATAAGGAATATTAATCTGTGTTTTTTCAAATATACATCGATTAGAAATTTAATGACTTAAAGATCAAAATTAAAATTTGATAATAATATATGATTAAGAAAAGATAAAATAATAAATTTTTTATATATGACTAAATAAGTAATGCAAATTGTAGGGAAAAAAATAATCTATTTATTTCAACTTTAAAAAAAATCAAATAATAAATGCATTATTTAAAATGATAAGTTTTATGTTATTTATGTAATGTGGAATTAGTGTTATATTAAATTATTAGAATGTTATCTAACATTAATTTTGGAGAGATTGTTTGTTTTTAAATATTTATCAATGAAAATTTAAAAAAAAAAATCATGAAATGATTTAATAATGTCTTATTTAATATAGCATGAAATTTAAGAATTTTATTAAATAATACTAGGTATGGATCTTTGATAATATATATACAAAATCTTAGGGAAGGTGAGCGAAATTTCTCATTTGAATAGATAAGGTAACTAATGGGTAATTTTGTTATTTTTGGTATTATAATCTATGATATCTGCATGACATCAACAATTAAATAGCCTAATGGTGGGAGAATCTTGATAATAGTTGCAAAAGTAAGGGAGGTTAGTATAATTATTAGGGTTAAGTACGGAATTCGTAAAATCTATAATCCGATCCAGTCCAATCCGGTAGGTTTGGATTGGTTTTTTGACTCTGTGGTTTGGTTCTAGATTGATAGATTAAAAATCCGTAGTTTACGAATTGGTTCCGGATTGAACCCCATGGTTCCTGATTAAAATCGATCCGGATTGTATACAAATAACCTATATTTATATTATACAATAGTATCTTCTCTTATTCCATATAAAACCTAAACTCAAACCTAAATCCGCATAGTATCTTTTTTTATTGTTTTTGTTTATTAGTTTTTAATTTTAATTTATAATGGTCTAAATACTTATGGTGGAAAGACATACTGCAATTGCGAAACTAATATGATGCTATATTTATATTTTTATGAAATTAAAATGCTGTATATTTTTTTATTATTTAATTATGTGAATCCATTGTCCTAAACCGATCTAATCCATGTTTAAATGGATTGGTTTGGATTGATTCTATTATTTAAACGGATTGAATTGGTTCTAATTTTTCAAGAACTGTAGATAATGGATTGGTTTTGGTTTTACTCCAATCTAAACCAATCCGGACTATGCTCACCCCTAATAATTATTGAAATTGTACGGGAAAGAAATAAACCTTCTTGTATAATCCTGTTGATCAAGTCTGCGCTCCTCTGTACGTCGTCGCTTTATCACCTGAAAACACAAACGTGAGCTAGCCGGCGGGTGTGTGCCAGAAACCTCTCCGATGCCTAAGTCCGTAAGCTTGACAAATAGACAAAAGCTCTGTGTATTCAGAAAACGAAGTTGTGTTACCCCTCCAAAGGTGATGTTTGTGAGCTTTTATAGGTTTCGTGTGGCACAATCCTAGTAGGACTTCTACTCCTCCATGCAGAGTCCTCCTAGAATTCATACTCCTGAAAGATAATGCTTATCCTTCAACACCCCCCTCACTGCTTAAACCAAGTGAGATGGTTTTTACCATGGCCGAACTCCAATATGACCGAAGTAATCATGGTTATGCTGAGCCGCTGAGTAGGCTGAACTATCCTTAGTTGGGTTCTTCCTTTCAATACACCTTATCTCGGTTCTCTCATGTACACAGATTGGCGTGGTTAGACCAAGCTACCGAATAGTAAGGTTCTGACCGTTCTAACCACAATACGCCATGACCGGGCTAACTCTGAGACTGGACTAACTTCAAAGTGTCTTTAGACTGGACTAACTTCAAGTCTCCTCCGGGCCGGACTAGCTTCTCGGCCTTAGGACCGGACTAACTTCAAAATATCCACATGACCGGAGTAACTTATATGGCCATTTTACTTGGCCCTTTGTACTGCGGCTCATAACGGCCCATTTACCCAGCTCGGCCCAATTTTCACATAAATTACCGTCTCAATTGCCCCTTAATTCCATCTGCCTAGCATGATTGGGATTATCTGTCAACCAGCCGAGCTATAAACTCTTAGTCTTTCCAACCGAGCTATAGATTTTTGGCTTATCCAGCCGAGCTACTTTCACACCGAGCTCTGGCTGTCCGGTAGTAACGTCCCTTCAATCACAGAAACTGAAACGCTTCCCATTCTAATGACACGTGGCATGCTCTGATTGACTGAGGACGGCTGTCACGCCGTCTTCGTACTTCGTAAATTTTGAACAGTCTCGCCTTTTTCTCTTTACCTAAAACGAGCCTCTTCATTTTGACACACTTTGCAACTTTTCCCTCTCTGAGCCTCCATTGCTTCTTCAACTTTCTGAGCTCGTGTTCTCCATAGCTGTTATTCTCTCTCCAACTCTTGCCTCTTCATCGGGTAAGCACTGTACATCTACTTTGTTTTCGTATTTTGTTTTCTGTGTTTTTGCAAAACATATTTTTCCGTTTCGCTTTGCTCTGTACTTTTCTGGAAAAAACTTAACAATAGAACACATGAGTACATGTAATATCCTGTAGAAAACTGGTTTTTGATCCAAAATCATGATGCAACCGAACTAGGACACTGTTTAAGCTAGGTAAAAGTCTAGTCAGTTTACAACCGGACTAACACTTCATGTATACACCACTTCTTGCGTTACC